TTCTCTGGCACCAGTATGTAATGGCCTAATTTGATTAATGGTGTCACGGCGTCTTGAATTTCCACATCAGGAATTTGCTGGCGTAATACCTCGTACCGTTATTGGGTGAGTTGAACTGTCTACACCATGTGAATTAGCTCAGAGGCAAGCAGAGCGATCCACAAAGCCAGACTCTTTGGCAAAAATGAACAGTGAGCGAGATCATGGAGAAACTAAAACTATTTTGCGTGGCGTCTGTCCATGTGGTGACATTTTTCGCGTTATCAGTTGCAAAGCTGCAATTATATGAACTATGTTATGAATAATAGACTAAACATGAGCGAAATTGCAAAATGTACAAGCGAAACATTCAAATGCTGCCAAGTGAACTGAAGAAAATGTTTCATCATGTAAACATATGCATCATTGCTCCAAATGTACGTGAGCTGAAGAAGCCAAACTGGGCCCTTTATCCCTCATGTTTACTTGAGCACCTCAAGTGCTCCCTCATTCTCTCTTCCTCAATTCGCCCCCCCCCCCAACCACGAATACATGATGAGGTCGCGCTCATTACACACAAAGTGCTTGCCACAATGAACCACCACAACACCTCGCTGATCTCGTCAAGGAGCACAAACCATCACGCGAATTCTGGTCATCCTCGCAGCAGCGGCGGCCTTTGGCTGCTGGCCATCGAACAAAAACACATCGCGCACTTTCAGATGCGCTTTTGCGGCCATCTGGAACGCTCTACCTTCCGATAATAGGAAATCACTGCAGGAGCTATGCACTGTTAAATCTAAATTGAAAACTCATTTCTTAAAAATTGCTCTTTGTGTTTAGTTTGTTGTCCTTCCTCCGCACCTCTGATGAGCACGGCTGGGTACGTATGGTGAGAAAAAAGTTCAACGTACAACCAACAATTTGAAAATCCATGCCAACCCTCCAACCCATCTCTCCCTCAACAACCATACCTTCACCGACCATCCTCCCTGTTTTTAACGAGAGCCCAGCAACCCACACTCCGCCCTCTGTGCAGGGAATGCAGGGCAGCTGGTCTGACCGCTGGCCCATGTAGCGTAACCCCTGTTCCTCTCTCCACTGGTCTCCCTTTATAGCCGTGCCACTTATTGAGAAACTGTACATCATTTTCTGCTCTTTGTAATTATATTGCCTTCCCTTTCCCCATGCTGCCGCCTCGGTCTTCTAGCTGGGGGGAGCTCAGGACCGGTGTAGGTGATTTGACGTGGAGACGAATCGATGCGATTTCGGGCAGCACTGAGTGTGAGGGACTGGGGAGCAACTGCTGTTATCCTCACAGCGCCTTGCAGCATGCATGACCATCGGCGTGTAAAACTCGTGGCTGTGTGCATGTGGGGTATTAATGCGTGAATTGTGTTCGATGCTTTGTCGTGGCCATAGTGACTTTGTTATAATCGACAAATGAATTTAGAAAAGTCATCACCATCATTAACACTTTTCTTAAAACATAGAAACATCCATGAGGCCAATGTTACTTACAATGGCCTTCATTTAGAGCAGATATATTGACTGACTTACGGTTGGTGTGTGCATGCCTATATTTTTTTTTTAACAAACCACTGCATCATTATTCCCTTACTCAAGCACACGCTCAATAATAAAGATGATGAGGGTGGTGAGTTTGCTATGCTTGTGTGTGTGCTCCACTGCTACTGCACCCCCTGCGTGTGTGGCACGTTTGAATTTGTTTTAAAACATGTTCGATAAATACATAAAATCATCATTAACAATAATTTCATCACATAATTAAACGAAAAAATCCAAAGAATATAATTAAACGATTTATACGTACAGTTCGTTCATTAAGAGAATGGTTACTTTGTTTTGTTTTAGTCAAGCAATTAGTTTGGCATAGTCGACTTGGAGAATTGTTACAGTCAGTGGCCTGTAGCCCACATCACACGGCATTTCGAGCTCTTGTCCTAACCGGTGCATTACCACGAATGGCAGTTGCCATGTCTTACACGTGTTCTATTTTCTCAGTTGCGGACATCATTAACGGCGCGAGAAAATTAATATTCAAGTTGTTTTTTGTTGTTGTCCTTCGTTCATGTACAGTTCAGAGGGAAATTAAAAAAATAGATGTCATTTGCGTGCAAGACAATCGATCCAGGCACCAGCGAAACGTCGTACTCAATTTGTAAATGTTTTGGGGTTACTCTCCAACACACTGGTGTGCTGAAGTAATAACTAATTGGCACGTCTTGTTTTGCGTGAGAAACATTACTCATTGGCCGTGTCTGGTGGTGGTGGGATAACGAGACATGTATATGTATGCGATATAACCCAACAAAACAACTTTACTATGGATATTGGTCGCGAAAGCCTACGTGTTAAACCGATCCAGGCAGCCTGAGCTTATGGGTCCAGAGTTGTCCTCTGCCAGGTAGTATTTCTCTGCTGTCAGCAAGAGGATTTCCGGTGGCGGCAAAATGCGTAAACGTAAACACAGCTACATATATCGTTTCGCGCACGCAACCTTATGTGGGTTAGGGAGTGCGGTTTCTGTTCAAAGGGCCCTTTGTGTTCTCCTGACCCAGGTCACCCGCCCTGCCTGTGCCCTCTCTGTCTACTTAGCGCTGCGGTACATTAACACAACCGGCCCCAGGGAGTGGTGTTCACTTTGATTTCATTGGCGGTACTGGATGCTCGGCGGGACACTTCAGATGCTCGCCCACCGGTTTTCACATTGACACTCGACCGTGATTGCAATGGCCTGCACATCATCGTGCGCACAACGTGACACGCAGGTCGTTACGCCACTGCTCTTGCGTAATTTCCATTCGCAATCTCGCGTGCGATTCCTACGCTATGGTCCCGATTTCATGTGCATTCCCACGCATAATCCGCAAACTCGGTCTGACGGACAATTGCAAGTTCTCACGGGCAATGCCACGTGTAGTTTGATGAGAAATCCCACACCTAATTCCATTCACAGTCGTCAATTCCACTCACACCATCCTATGTACAATTTCGCGCAAAAACTTCACGTCTCATAATATACTAAAATACAGCCCTTTGTCATTCCACTACTGGACGAAGCCCTTTCCACGTTGGTCACGGGAGCTATTTGTACATACTTCACCATGCCGGTCCATGCGCGTGGTGAAGAGGGAGCAGGCCCAGGACCGATTCAGATATCACGGCGTCACTAGGGATCAAATTCACTACTGTGCCACCACTCGACATCATAATAAACTTAAAACTTAACTTTTTAAAATTTTACTAGGTAAGGGTCACTGACCTATATAGCTCTTTTTCAGAATCGACTTGGCCACAAATGATAACTCAACGAAGTGGCTTATCACGTGGACATGTATAGCAGCCAAATACCCTGAAACGCATGTTTGTAATTGTGGAGGAAAAAGCCGGAGGACCCAGTGAAAATTCCATGCCACGAAACTCCAAATATACACTCGTCAGGGTCAGGATCGAACCCACAACCTCTTTCATACCAGGCAAACTCCTTAACGTCACGCCACCGTGGTGCCCGTAATCCCATGTACAGTCCAATATACAAATCTACGCACGAATCCCACACCAAGTCCCATACACGACTCCACGCGTAATCTCAAATACAATCCTATAGTTGATGCCACGCACAATTCCGCATGTAATCCCCCATTCAATCCCATGTGCAATCTCGTGCACAAATTCACATACAACCCCGAACACAGTCCCATGCCCAATTCACCCACTATAATCTGCAAACCCTTGGTTAAGTGCCGACTTCCCCCTTGGGATGCCGGGTTCCTTTGCAAGTCACCCTGTGGTCAGAATCCGGAATACTTTTCCTTGTTTTGTACACACACACACCTACCACCGTGGGGATGCAGCCTTCACATTCCTGTGGCATTCTGCCACGTGGCGCCACCAGGGACCCTGTGGTAAAAGAGGATTTTTTTCACGTTTTGCCCATTACAACGTTTACAAAAAAATTTTTTGTAAGTCTGGAGAAATTATACACAAACAAGGGCTCTTTTGTTCCATGTCCCGGCACCACCAAAGGCAGCGCGCATGGGAAGAGGGGGTGGAAGTGTTATGCTTGTGCGTGTGTTTCAGTTCCTATGTGCATGCGTCTATTAACTTAATGGTGTGGATGTAAGCGTACGTGCCCGTGTTTGTGTGTGGAGGGGTATGTGGGGAGTGGTGATGCAGCTGTTAGGGCGCCGTGCTACGAATCCAGTCACTCGAGTTCGATTCCCGCTTGCGGCCAAAAACAACGGTGACGATAATCTGATCCGGTACTGGCCGACCCTGGGTCGACTCAGCCTCAAATGGGTTCCTCGTGTGATGTGTAAACATCGCCACCAGACAGACATAGGCAGCCGGGTATGGTCCTTGCCACCTACCTTCATAGGTGCTCGTTGACAGCACTTTCCACAGCAGTCTGTTGAGGCTAGACGGAGAATATCTGCCTTCGTTGTGTGTTTTCCTACACTCGTATATGAACACTGCAGTGCAGCGGCGAGTGTACGCCACTGCACTACCATGAACACCCTTAATGCAGTCCTCCACTAACGTTTGATTTAGCTTAAATTTAATCAACGATGCAGAGGTGTAGTCGGGGAGTTGGGGGGGCGGGTAGAGATAGCCTGGTACAAGTGACAGGACCGCCTTCTGTGCTGTCCTGGCTACAATAGGGAATGGTACCTGCCCTACCAGTACAAATAACTACACGGAGGGATCGTTTTGTCTTTTGTGAATGCATTACTAAGTATGGTGTACATAAGTCATCCACGTGTAATTTGCACATGCATTTGTCCATGAGGCTGTTCGCTCTTGCGCGTCCCCATATGTATGCATCTGTTCATGTACACACGTACAAATTAACGTTACCGCTGTATGTGTGTGTGAGGAGTAGTTGGCACAGTAGGAGGTACAGCTGGTGCATCTACCAGTCATCTCAGCCAGACAACGCATGGAATCTGGGTCTGCCCCCTGACCTCTTGTCAGCGAACCTTCGACACTTCACGTGGCCTCAAAGTGCACCTGGCCTGGCACAGGCGATGTGCTGACGTCACCGTCACTGGATGGCGAATTGCGGGAATTGGTGTTGGTTAGTAGTGGCACAATGGTTCATGGACTGTGCTATGAACCCTGTGATTCAATTACGACTTCCGACCATCGCTAGATATCAGTGGCGAGTGATATTGGAACCTGTCCAAGGGCTCCCATTGATTGGCTCGGCATTAAATGAGTAGCTGGTGTTGTGCATAAACATCAGCACTGGGGAGACAAACGCAGAAGGGCATGGTGCTTGTCACATCACCCAGTGGTGTGTCATATCAGCTGTGAGAGATGTTCGCTATCAGCAATTGCCCCAACAATCTATCTTGTCTTCACGTGTATATGTGCATGCTGTGTGTGTGTGTGCTTGTATTCGCCCACGTGTGTTTGTGTCTAAATGTCTACCACCTGCTGTGCCAGACATTTGGTATCAAGGGACCCCACAGTCCATTCTTCCCCTCTTTTTCTCAAAATCCCTGTCCAAACAGCACAGGTGCAGACACCAATTCCAGAGTGAGTGCTAAATTCCCCGTGTTTATTGTGCTTCTGCCTAAATTTAAACTAAAATGTCAACAAAATGTTTTTTTGTGCCAAAAGTAGCTCATTCTTTTGCAGAGTTTATGTTGGCATTTTACTGCTCAGATAGACACGTGGTCGCAAAAGCAGCTGTGGCTTTAGTGAAACGGGGCGGTATATAATGACGTCTCTATGAATTCAGAATGCAATATATTAGTGAAGGAGATGGGACATGTAGAGAATGAGGCAGATAGGATCAGAGAGAGAGAGAGAGACAGCCTGTCAAACGTGATGGTAGTTGGAAATGTTGTAACATATACAATGGGTGAAGTAGACACCAGGGATGTAGAGTTTATTGAAACACATGGTAAAGACAGGTTAAAATTATAAAACGTTGGTAATAATCATTGTACTTCGCATTGTGTTTATAGTGGTATCAATTCCCGGATAAGGCGTCTGTGTGTACCTGAATCCTGTGTTCAATAAAATACTTTTGGGGAAAAAAAGATATACAATGGGAGGCCAGGAGAGTGGCTGTTGTCCTTCCCCCGCATCTTCGATGAGCATGGTTGGCTACGTACGGTGTGAAATAAGTTCAACATACATACTAAAGAGAAATACAATAAACAGAAGGGAATGAGAAATGTAACTAATAAAAAGACTACATTAGAGATATACTACGAATGGTACAAAGAGAATCAGTGAGAGCAACATGGCACCAGCGGTGGTTTGGGGGAGAGAAAGGGTCTGTATAGGGGAAGGTAAGGAAGCAGATTAAAATGACAAAAGCGAGGTGGGGATCAGAGATGGAAGTGGGAGAAATTATTGAGATGGGAGAGCAGAGCTAAGGATGTGGAGGCAAGGGGGTGAGACGGGTGACGACAGAAACAGACATTTATAAAGAAAATAATTTTCAACATCTGTTAACGACTCATCAAAGAAAATCCTTAACGGTATAAACAGCAGACTCCAGTATGTGCGGGTGAATGTATGTGTGCGCACGCGCGCGTGTGCATGTGTTTATCTGTCAGTGTTTATCTGTGTGTGGGTGTGCCATATTAGCTTATGAGAGCCCTTTGAAACAAAACAGATCCCAGGTCTGGTAATGGATCACGCAGGTCCACGTGGTGACGCACAGGCCCAGTGGGGGTCACTCCTTGGCACTCCCTTCTGATATCCATCATGAGCACAACTCCTATATCTCCGTTAGGGTCAATGGCTTTGAGTGGCTCGTACAGCGAGACACACCTCACTGCCAGCCACGCATGACACAACCCACTATTGACTTTAGCACATGTAGAGTGGCACTGTCAATGTATAGTGATACAGCAGTATCCGCTGATAAATCCATGCCTAAAATCTAGCGGTTTGGAGGCAGGGGTTAGGAGTGCGGCAAATAGACGTATGGATCTGTCTGTGCGGACCTTTGTTTTACCCTGTATATGTTTGGTTATTCTCCAGGTGTTAAAATTTTGCAAAATTACCATTAAAAAGGAATTGACTAAACATCCCAATGCAGGACCATTCGAGAGAAAAAAATCCTGAGATTGAATGAGGCTTTCCTGGATAAATGAAATTAAAATTTCAGTCACAAGTACAATTTTGTTCATGATAAATATTAGCAGACTTGAGATGAACAACTCTGGAATGTAATAATTTCATTTTAGTTATATTACAGCAATAGAGACTCAATTACACAGCTACAAAATTGTTGCAAATAATAAGGGGAAACACTTTGCAACAGTAATAGTGATTTTGATTTAGAGCTTTCGTGACTGCAGGGATTCCTATTCATATACCGAAAGAACCAAGAATAGTAATAGTGATGTGTTTTTTTAGGCAAAGTCAGGTTCGAGGGAAACTTAACACGTGTTTTTTTTTCATAGCCAATATTATGATTCAAACTTGTTTTTTGGGTTAGGCCATGTATTGTAATGTTACATGGCCATGTAATGTAATGTTACATAGCGTAACCCATCATAAAATCAACAATGAATGAGGGAAGTTTGTTGTAAAACAGAACTTTAAAAGCATGGACAGACTCACATTAATTTGCATCAGTTATGGTTCTGAGGGAGCGGTGCTGCATTGCGTTATGAACCTTGGCGACCTTATTTCCATTCCCGGCCATGGCTTATGTGTACTGACCAGCGTGGTGAAGTATGGTCAAACAATCCCCATGACTGACACGGTGTGGGCAGGCCTTCATCCAACAGTCGATTGACAATAGGCTGTAAATTATTACATTTATTATGCTTCTATAAATACATCCGTAACAAAATCCACTTCAATAATAACTTAATTTAATACTTAATAGGGCGTCTCACTTTAGGCTCGTGCAAACAATGTTTGTTTAGGATCCTAAGTGCAAAACTTTGAACCCAGTCTGGATGGTGGTCCTCTGGATAAACCTGTCCCCGACATAGCAACATGGAATGTACACCTTCGGGCAGAGCTACCAATGAAGATATGAGTCCTGTTACTTTAATAATATCACTTGCCCATTTCCACAATTCGTAGGACGTTCAGTCTGCCATATGGTGCTTTGTGTATCATTTTTGTGGCTTTCGCCCTCCTTGTTATTTCTCCCTTGATGGGTTCCTCCTCTTCGGCTGCCAGAAAGAATGTTATTTCATGCGTCCATTCTAGGAACACCTCAATGGAGCGCCCTCATGATGGTGGTTGTGTTTTGGGAGATTTTTAAGAAGCTGGGAGGGCCGGGTGACTCTGATGGCCATGAGGTTGTTTTTTTACTATCGAGAAAGATGTGTGTGTCTACGGGTAAAATATTTATAAAGCATGGCAAGGTGGGGGTGGACATCCAGGGAAAAACTAAAAAAAAGTTGGAGCTCATTGTGAGACCGAGATTCAGCATTTCAAGCAAAGCCACACTGGTGGTGGTGGTGGCGTCAGACCGAACTTGCAGACAGGAAGTGGGAGGCCCTCTGCACGCAGCCACACCCCACCCCCAGCCAGCCAGCCACCCACCCACCCACACTCAGGCTCGAGGGGAGAGGGGTAGGAGGGGTGGGTGGCTCGTGGTTTATTTGGTCAATCATTATACCGCGGGGGCTTAGACGAGGAGAAGGGAGAGCAAGAGACAGACGGGCGGGCGGGCAGACGGGCAAAGAGCATGCGTCTGCAGGTGTGTGCATATGTGTGAGTGCGCGCGTGGGTGAGAGGTATGGTGAAGTCTCAGTAGTAGATTGTCGCACCAGAGCACTTTGTTCACCCGTTGACGTTTGCATTTTGTGTGAGAAAATGTGTATACGGGTGAGCAAGTATGTAGGTACGTATGACTCTTTACGTGTGCATCGATGTGCGTATGTGCATGCGTGTACGTGTGACTTATTCTTATAAGTGCAAGTTAACGGGGTTCTGCGTGTGTACGTATTCGTGAGCACGTGCAAGCGAATTTTTTTTCTCAACAGCGACCATGTGTCATACATTCACAGGAATGTGCGCGCGCGCGTGTGTGTGCGCGCGCGCGCGCTCAATCTACGCGTTCAAATTCATGTTCTTGAATTAAAAATAAATCTGGGTGCTGGAGCATTGTGTGTGATCGCGAGTCGCTATGCTGATATCCCACAGAGGCAACGCGTGCCAAATTGGGGCTGGCGTGATTGTAACAAAAAATGTTTTTTGTTGTTGCCGTAATGAGACGACGGCTCGATTTGCTACCCACCCCACCACCCACTGCGCTTGGGCCATAGCTGGCCACAGATTATGTCATTAAAATCCCTCTTGATTCAAATATACCCTCGTTTCACTCTTAAGTTTATCCGTGCATTTCTACGCGCTTTTATTTGTCATCATCCCGGTACATCTAGTCATAGTTCCCCCGTCTGTATAAAATGTGTAACCCTCTGGCCGCATGAATCAGATACCGTTTCTCGACATTGTACATAGATCCATAGAAGCTTTGATATTTTCAAATAGTATCGAAGTAAAACTAAATTACACATGAGGAATCTTAAACGCTGACATTTGCCAACTAACAAACTTAATAACACAACCTCATCGGTGCTCAAATACTTAAGCATGCACACTTACTCTCACCCTAATAAACACCCAGCAACCTATGTTCACATAACCATGGCACTAGTGCCAGGATAGGTGCGCATTGAGACCATGCATAAATATATATGCACACACTCACACAACCTTGACCACATTCAATGCATACACAAGCTAAGACGATGCGTCGATTAATCGATCAATATAAACAAAAAATTAAGTTAACAATAAATACATTGGATGGCTTGTGAGAATCAATGGCTTTTGGTTCACCTATGTTGGACGATGTGTTCACTGGAAGCCTTATTGTCGTCTGCTACGTTTTACAAGGTATCGATGTTAAAATTGAATTTCCACCCCTGAATCGTGACAATGTGTTGAACCGACGGGGGTGTGTAAGTAGTTTTATACCTATCATGGCATAAAATTCTGAACAAAGACAACAATTCCCCGTATAGCATTTAAAAGACTGTTCGGGCAAGTGCTGTTAGCAAGCACCTATTAAGGCCAGCACAGCACATGAGGGGGTGGGTCGCCAGCACAACACCCGGCCGCCTTTGTCTCCCCAATGCGAATGTTTGCACACTGTACCAGCTACTAATTTAGGGCCGAGTCGACCTAGGGTTGCCCCAGGACCGGTTCAGATATTCATCACTGATGTTGGCTGTAAGCGGGAATCAAACTTGGGATTCGTAGAGCAGGGTGAAAATCACGACACTTTTGCTCTCTACACAACTCCTCGACCATACGAAACAAACGCACACACACACGCACAAAACAATTGTCCCCCATATCAATTATTTCCACTTTACCCCATCCCCATCATGTACCTCCCTTTCCCTCCCAAACTCCATGGACACCTACCTCACTTGCACTCCCTGGCACTCTCGCTCTTCCGCACGCCGGCTGCCGCTTACACTCGCTCACTCTCTCTCTCTCGCCTCGCGCACATTTACGCCTTCCGAATGTTCGTGAGCACCCGTTTCGCTCTCCCTCGCAGACGCTCCAGCGTGGGATGAGTGCTGTGCCCCACTCTCCCGACGCGTGACACGCTGCAGCTGGGCAGGCACAACCCTGGAGACGGCCGGCACTCGGCTGTGTTTTTTCTTCTTCTTCCCACTTTCACGACGCCTTAATGCGTCGCCGTTCCGACGATGGGGATCCGTGGCCACGTGAGAGGGGAGCACTTGAACCTGGCCAATCTATAGAACTCTGCTGGGAACTTGCGCAGTTTCCACAGGGATACGCGATGCTCTGCCTAGTCGCTGGGAACTGTGAAAAAGAGGTGCCCTCTGATTTCGTGGGGGGTATTTACAGTTACACACTTGGTCAGATATACAATGCGCAATGATAGTAACTAGCGCGTTTGGTCTTTGTGCCATTCTCATAGCTAAATGCTATCGCGAAGGCACGATGTTTCACAGACGGTTATGGTCTGCCAGTAGGGGGTGATGTTGCTAAGTAATTTTACCCAATTGGATAATCAGGTAATTTTCGGGTAACCTTGCAATTTTGACAAATTTGGACCGTGACGCCAAGTAACAACACATAACCAAATATTTTGTCAAACGACGTCATGGGATCTTGAATGTCCACTGTGAAGCAGAAGCTGGCAAGGTTTTGTTGTTGTTGCTTAATGCACCCAAACCGTGTAAAGCAGGTGACGCAGACGCACGGCCACTCGGGCACCTCAACAAGCACATCCACCCAGTGGCGGCGGTCCCTGCACGAGCGTCTGACTTGCGCGTGGTGGCAGATGCGGCATGGAATTAATTACGCTTTGTCTAAACAGTTCAGAGATTAATAGCGACCATAGCGGTCGTTACCAATGGGACCTCCACAGCAACATTGTGACTGCCTGCAGAACATTTCCTTTCTGAGCCCAAGTGTTTGTTTCGCAACCGTCCGTGTATTGAGGCTATCTCGCCAGGGACGCCATACAGGGACAACATCATAACAATTGCTCCATCTTTGGAGGTAAACGCTTGCTCAAAGTCCATCATCTTTACAGCCACTGTTTTCGGGAATTCTAAACATTTCCCCCATCATTTGTCTCGGGGGTAAATATCATGTCTTTTCAAATCCCTTCAAAATCTACGCCATTATATTTTCATCAATAGAATCCCCTGGCAGTGCTGAAATGTCCAATTAAACTCTTGGTTGCATTGCTAATTTTACGGAAAATTAATGACAGCCCTTTGTCATTCATCGCTGGATGAAAGCCATGCAATGCATTGTCGGTTATGGGGTTGTTTGACAGCACTTCACCGTGATGGTCAGTGCGGGTTGGTGAAGCGGTGGCCCAGAACTGTTTCAGATCTCACTCGCCACTGATGTTAATCATGGCTGGGGAATTAACTCAGGTCACTGGGTTCACAGCATATACAAAAATAATGGAAACACTTTAGTTGATAATGACTCAAAGCTATATATCCAGCCCAAAGGTTGTGAGTTCATACACTTTCCTGGTACGGGTGTTGACTAATTCCATGATTACGCCAGCATACAAATAACACGAGGCACAATTTTTGAGAAGTATACTGTTTGTTCTTTTGAGACGCTGGTTGCTATAATATAAATGGGTAATTTACACTACGAGCTCAGGACCTCAAACAAAGATTAATGCAGGACAATGCTCATTTGAGTAAGGGGACACGTTTGCATTTTGATAATTTAATAGATGAACTGATCTCATGCATTAGAGTCCTTATTCGTTACACGGTGTTCTGAATCCTGATGATGTAGCTACACAGTTACCCCCCCCCCCCCCCCCCCCCCCGATGTACGAGCTTTCTCCAGATACTCTGCTTTAATCCCACATGCAAAAATGTTCAAGCACGATTAGGCCAAACATATTATTGAGTGTGACTTCACTTTAACAAAGAACATAAGACCAGTTACAAACGAGAGAGGGCCATTCAGTCCGTTAGCTCGTTTGGTTGTCATCAGCAGATCAATTCTAAAATCTCATCAAGGTGTATCTTGGATCTGTGAGCAGCCTTTTCCAGACTCCCACCACACTTTGCATCGTAAACAAATCAATCACCTACCCTAGCCTCGGTTGTGAACTTTCCTGCATGCAGGTTTCCAACCATGGCCTCTAGTTCTCTTCTCTGTGTTGAGCTTAAAGTAGTCATCTGGATAACCTTATTATTTATGATTTTGTTGACATGCAATAAGTCCCCACGTAATCTTATCTGTACAAGACTATGATGACACACAGGTGTTTAAGAAGTTTACAATGCAATTTGGATTTACAAAGCGTCTAGTTGCAACCACATCGTACAGTGGTATGCCTATGGGGGGTACACGTGCATCTTGGGAGCAGGTAAAAGCATTTATTGGGGTGTTTTCTTTTCTATCTAATTCTATATAAATTATGCCACCAATGGCAGTTACATTTCAGCTCTAAGCTACCAGGAACTCCTAACGGATTAGCAGAGCAGTCCAGTTATGATAGAACCATCATTTGATACGCGCGTTAATTCATCATTATTTGGGCTCTGTTGTTTTCCCTTCAGACTGCAGTTTGTAAACATGCAGACGAATGTGTGTTTTATTATGTATTCATATATACATCCTCAGATATGGTTATCACCAAATTCAGTACTATGAGCAAATTTAAAGATGGCATATTTGTTGTGACTATCACATCAGTGGCTATAATAACACTGTCTTACGACAAGTCAAAGGTAAAAGTGATTTCCTGCTCAAATGAGCATTGAGGCAATGCTTATCTATTGAAACCACTAAACCAGTGGTGGAAATCCACATGCCTTTGGCTGGGGCAAGTATGTCCATAGGACGAATACTGCTGAATTACCCACTAAATGGTACTTATTGTATCACCACCAGAGGAAATGGTGGGGTGAGTCAACTGCAAACCAGGAATTGAACTAACGTGGGTATCAGAAATATTGGCTTAATACTCCTGCTTGGATCTTTGTCCTTTAACAACCCACTCAGATGTGTTTTCAGTAGCATTCTTAAATGGGGCCTCGTGATCGTTGACAATCAGAGATGGTGTTAATTGCGCCTCACATGACCACGGCCCCTTTTGAAATGCCCTCGCCTCGTATCTACGCCCGTCACTCAGACTCACGTTAGCCAGACCCCCCGCTTCTCTGTATTGTTCCGGGCGGCCCTAGAGCTCAGGGGCAATGGATGCTCTGTAAGATGCGCTTCTCTGCTCCGGGCCAGAGTTCAATCAACATCCCAGCATGGCAGCATGGCACTACCGGACACCGTGCAGCGGGAGGTGCCATCGCCGTCTCTCAGACGATACATTTAACCAAGGCCCCATCTGCCCTGAAGACACAGCAGACCCCATGGTGCTCTTCATTAAAGATCGCTGGACCTGAACCTTGGGTTCCCAGATACAATCCTGGTATCGCTGAAGAGTATCTCTCAGGTGGAAACAACTATATTCTGTATGATAATACGTCTACCACAAACAAATAATAAAAACATGTGTTTAAGTAATTATATTCTTCTTCCATGGGAGCAGGACAGCCATGTTTATGAGATCTGTGCATCAACGCGGCTAAATACGGTGTACGAATCGGGAAAATTACTGAATTTCTATGAATATCACGTCTATATATCGGAGGCATTGCTCGAGCCTCGTGTTAGCGGCTGTACTGGTCACTAATCAATGAATCACTTCCTTGCTTGAGAGCCACCTGAGAACCTGTTGAGATGAGACAACCTCTCATTTTGTAAGAAGGTCCTCAGTGTGCACACATTATAGGAGCATCGCAGAAACCTAGCAAGGGCAGTCAGCAGGTTGTAATTCTAGCCTCCGATTAAATTTTTATACACTTAAAAAACACACAAATGTTATAAAAGTGTGAAAGATTGGAGCTTTTTGACTCTCCTTGTTTATTTATCCTCACACACTTATGACCTCCGACTGCAGCTGTTTGTTTAGGTCTCCCCTTTGAGTACACAACATTTATACACGCATGTGCACACGCAGTATGCCGTATATAAACCTGAGACCATCCCTGTTGGCCTGCTTCTAAGAATCCCATGCGTACCCCCTGAGGTTTGTGCAATTCATAAACGCAAACTGGCAGTTCGTGAACGTTGCAAAATGTTAAACACAACAGCACATGTTTATAGTGAGGATTGAGGAAGCCATATTCCGTTACTCGCATGCCTCTGCTCACATGCTATGTGTTTGCCCGCTTTATTTTTGCCAGTGGTAGAATTTTGTTTTTCTCGGGGAAAAAACCTACGTGATATAATTTCCTGTTTGTGCCACCCAAACTCCAAGCAGTTGATGCCCTGGCTTTGTCACTCACAGGGGCAGATTGCTGTGGAGCCTCCTGTGAGCTGTACCCAGGTAAGGAGCTTTATTCCTTGTTCATTTACACACTTTTATGATACGTAAAAAATAATAATGGTTCAGCCCTTAATTTATTTGTTCACATGCTACTGCTTGCAGTTTGGTCTTCACAAGGGGGAGCTTCAGAGAGCCATTCTGGAGGGTTTATTAAAATGTTAGCCTTTTCTTCTACACAGGCCAGATGTCTTAAAAGAGGTGGAAACACCCACACTTTACTCCACCGTGTGTAAGCTGCCGATGATCTAACCGTGGTTTACGATTTATACTGCTGGAATGGACAGAGGTAGGGGGATTAAGAAACATGCCCATTTCAACGGCTGTACCGGGGGATCGGATCGGCAACTTATGGGTTGCTGTATATTGATTTGTCCGATGATATATTCATGATATATTCATTAAGCTCTATGGAGAGGTGGTGCAGCAGTTTTTAACATTCTTTAAAAAATGTAATAAGTGAAGGGTGATGGGGCATCGAACCGCAATACCCTGGCTTGCCAGCAGAATGCAGTACAGAAAGTGTGGACTGATATCATCTGTCCCTTCTGTTTGGGATAGCATGTTGCCCCCTCGCATATGCGGGTTTTCTCTAGGTGCTCCGGTTTCCTCCCACATGTACAAACACTCGCGAATTGGCTGAAAACATCTGAATATATAGAGAACTGCAGACCAATTATTGGTGCCTGCTCCCTGCCTGGCAACCTTGCAGCTTATTGTGATTGTGAGATGCAATTTGCATGAACGCCGATGCGATATAAAATGAATCATTATATTACTGGGCGGCAAGTGGCAAGGATTATGCATAAACCTGTACTGGGCTCCCTCACAAACTCACAGTGATGAACATGGTGAATGAAGTATGGTGAAATTATATTTAAGACAGACATGGAATGGGGAGGGCTTGATCCAGCTGAGTGAATTGACAAAGTGTTTAACTTTAAAATAAATAAATGTATTGGGCACGTTAAACATATTTAATGTTATTTTCTTTTGAAACCAGATGTTTTAAATTTGCTCGTAAAAATAATTCACCACAATGATTAAGACAGAAAGAATAATTCTTTTGCAAATGTGTGTTGCAATGTGTTGACAAACTAGGCACGGAGAATCAGTAAAGTTACTAGCACTATAGACATCCATCGGTGAAACTCTACAGACATTGGGTAGAGGTCATCTGTAAAATGGCTCATGGTGCACACGAGACAGAAATCATAAAAAATAACAGATAGTAGAATTCGGATCATCACCAATGGCCTGTGCGGGATTTTCCTCTGACGTTTTCCATGAGTCACAGGATGCATTTTCTATTGGAGCTCTGGATGAACGTGCCTGTGGTTCCATTTTCCAGTCGCAATGGATTTGCCAGAAAAATCGACCTGGAATAAAGTGGCTTGGACGATCCAGGTTGAACAAAGTCGGCCAAAGGCAAACTGGCTGGAACAGAAGAACGTCTCCGACAAATTGACCCAGGCAAACAGGCCGCAATCCTCGGTAGCTGGAAAACATCCGAGCACGTTCAAAGTAGTTATTTATGCCCGAGATGGAAAATTCGATAAGAGCCGTTACACGTACGGTAATTCATCTACGGACTAGACACAGACACACACGAGACATACCACGCACATACGCGCGCGTGCGCACTTTCAACGGGAATAAAAGTTAATGCCGTAAATTACGTTTTTTGAGAAGGGATGAAGTACCATTAAGACCGTGTGACTCGTGTGTCGCCTTGTGCTGTGAATCTCGGGCTCTGGCAGGACCGTGCCATAATCTGCGCCCTTGTCATTAAACTCCGAATGGCCTCTCGAGAGCGACCGTAAATTCTTCAACGAGTTTCAATTGTAAATGGCTGACGTTATACTATTTTCACACGGCCGCGTTGTTAGCGCGGCGCTGCAAGCAGCCCAATTTGGTGGCGTCACGTCGGCCTCTCGTTACGAGCGAGGTCCGTCCGCGCTCCCCGTTCCATTTGGCCGCTCAGTGCCCATAAAAGGCCGCCTTTTAGGTCGACTGTTTCGTTTTTTTCCTTTCCCCCCCCCCCTTCACTTTCCCCACCACCCCCCCTCCCCGCTATCCCCCGTAAACGATCACTTTTCAAATATTTTTTTGCAACATGCACGCCTTTGCCAGCGCAGTGCGTGCGTGCTCGCGTGGGGCGGTTTGTTTAGCAAATGAGCCGTGCGTGTGAGAGAGTGAATATCGACCACGTGAAGGCCACAAATGGGTGGCGTTGGAGCTGGGGCGAATTTTGATGGGGGGCTCAGGGTGTAGGGAGTGTTGGAGGGGGGGGTAAAGAGGCGTATTCCTCGTGAGGCTGAAACAACACTTCGAGCTGCATGAAGCCGCCAGTCCCTTCCTGTTTGGCTCACGTCTGCCTTCTCCACTCCGGTTCCGTACATAGAACTTATGCCACAACACAAGGCTCAGGAGCTCATGAGGGAAAAGCAGGGAGCCTTTCGGATGAGAGATGACGGCATGTCGGGAGTGTATGTGTATGTAAGCAGATGTACGTATGCACTACGAACCCGGCAACCTGAGTTCGATTCCTGCTCACAGCCACCACCAACACCAGTGATAGTGACTTATCCGAACCGGTCATAAACCTCCCCTAGGTAGACTCAGCCCCAAATAAGTACCTGGTGCAGTGTGTAAACATCGTCACTGGGGAGACAAAGGCGGTCAGGCGTGGTGTTGGCCACTCATCCCATTGTGTGCCGTGCCGGCCTTCGTAGGTGCTCGCTAACAGCACTTGCCGCAATAGTCTGTCGAGGCTATAAGGGGGATATTTGTCTTTGTATTTAATCATATGCTTTATGTATGTGCATACATTGAATGTATCTGTGTAGGGGTTAGGGCGCGGGAGAAGCAGTGCATTGCGCCACTAATCTGGCAATCTGGGTTTGATTCCCAGGCATGGATAATATCAATAGCAGTGGTATCTAAAACTGTCCTAGACCTCCCCAAGATTGGCTCAACTATAAATAACGACCTGGTGTTGTGTTGTATAAATCAGCACAGGGGAGACAAAGGTGGCAATACTTGGTTCTGGCCACACCACCTCCTCTTGCACTATATAGGCCTTAATATGTGTTCACTAACAACACTTGACCCAGAAGTTTATAGGGCTGTATGGTGGAGTTTTTGTATGTTTGTGATTATACTCTTACACATATGTACGTATGTGTTTTAGATTTGTGTGTTTTTTCTACTCTTCTAGCGTATGGCAAGTATGTGTAAATTATACGTCCAGGTTTAGCTATCTGTAGTTTGTTTCTGATTTTGTCCACTGGGTCATCATCTTTATTGTTTTCCGCTTGTGGAAAAGGCGTGCGCAGCAAGCGACCTCGGTCGCCGCCCCAAAGCGGCCGATGGAGCCGCCGCAGTTTTTCTTGGGCACGAGCGAAGCCATGCGGAGCGGCGGTGGGGACCCCTCGACGAGGTCCCAGATTAGTTTGTGGCATCTCAGACGAGTTTTAGAGCAGCTCTTGGTGTCACTTGGTTTAGATGTCGCGGCATCCCCGCCGGAGGTCTGCTGGCAATAATGTTGGCCAGAAATGGGTGGCCACTCAGTGGGAGCGCGTTTTATTGTGCCCATTATTGTCTGAAGGACGCCGTTGATCTGGACGTCCAATTTATTCGTGTGGGCGCATGATCCCCAACTTGACATACGGATACTTAGCACTGGGGTACACGAGGGCAAGGGTGGCCGTACGTAGAGTTTTGTTGACGGCTGATAGATGCCATGCAGAGATCCCACTGGAGTCAAGATGCTACACTGTGCTCTGGGAGTATATCTATCGAAAAGCCTGATCATACAAACGTAAGATATATATTCACTCAGAGTGTAGGTGTCCACTCTTCCGTTGTTTTGGTTTATCAGATGCAGCTGATCCTTCATCGGCAATATGTGCACTGTTCACAAGGAAAACTGAGCTCATTCAAAATAGATCCGAGCAGCTCATTGTTAAAAATTGTATCCAGACGACACTGGACAACAACTAATTTCCGTAATACTATTCATATTTATCCTATGGAAATTCTTCTCTGCTAAACGACAACAGCTATTGCATTTGATTTATTAGGTCGTCAGTGGGACAGTGACATTCATGAACGCATAGTTGAATTTCTCATGGTCAACAATTGGAACGCAACCAAATATCATACTGTAGAAATCATTCTCCTTACCCAGCAAAGCCTCACCGAGTCCCAGGACTCTTTGATCGGAGGGTCCCGCATTTGTATGCTTAGCCAATACCCATACAGACTGTTTAGCATGTGGGAGGAAACCAGAGAACCCAGAGAAACCCACACATATAAGAGGGTAACACTCAAAGCTCTGCGCAGATATATTTAAGCATCCTTTGATGTACTGACCACCATTGCAGCCCAATTCTCCAACCCCTGATAATCCTAGACAGTCTCCATCCTGGTGACAACTGCGCTCAGCCCTGCCTAGCTCGCAGGATCTGAAGTTGTGAGTGGCTGGACACAGAAATACAGAGGGGTAACTTGCACGGGGTTATTCCTGAGGATGTTGCTATGTTTATGGACAGCGAGTGGTAAATACTAGGGGTGCAGATAGACCCACAGCACGTGGATTGGAATGTGAATGGATCAAGATCATATCATATTCTTATCAGTTGATCAGCTTACAGGATTGTGAAGTACACTTTAAAACGAGCTTAACAGCCAGCAACTACCGCCTAAGCGTAGGTGGTGAGACGCCCCCTGTTGAATTTCTAGGGCTCTGGTTTGATAATTATTAAGTCGGAATACATTTTTCACGCATTTTTTTGCAGTATATATTTTTTTAAATCCATCCTCATGTGCTGTAATGAATATCATCACATTTTAACTTCCTGTATTCTCGTTTTGAAGCCTGAATATATTTTTTTGTCCGTAATGATGTTTGCCATATTTGCAAACAAAACGTCATCTTGTTTACTGCTACATTTTTGCTTGTGAGAATTACCCTCCAATTTGCCGGTGAGATGAAAAAC